TGGAGGAGCCCCCGCCCCGCTCCCGTACCTGCACTTTCCTCCGCCCGGCCGTGTTCTGCCGGTGATGGGCCGCCATCTTGCATGTTGACACTGCGACGTCACTTCCGGAAAGGTCTCCCGGGCCGGATGTCCCGCCCCTTCCCCCCCATGGAGGGAGGGAAGGCGGGGACTGTTGTCTAGGTGACGGGGGGGCGGTGCGTGCGTGCGCGTGCGCGCGGGCCCGGCCTGGGGGCTGGAGCTCCCGGCCTGGGCGCCGTCCCCTGCGGTCGCGTGTGTCCTGGCGGGGGGCAGCGCCGAGTCTCAGGGACGTTTCCTGCCCGGGGCTGGCCTCGAACCGCGATCGTCTCGATCGCAGCCTCCTGAGGCGCGGGAAAGCCGGCTCGCGGGTGGTTCTTCCCGGTCGGTTTTCCCAGTCTGGCCTCTGGAGGGCAGCAGAGAGCCGTGCGGGAGCCGTGCGGGATCGGGGCCGGCCCGGGGCGCGGCTGGGCCCCGGAGCCCGCTCCAGCCCCGATCTCGGGGGGCGGGGGGGCGGCCTAAAACCACAAAATCCTGCTGTACATTTTGGGTTTGGCTTTGGGGGGTGGGGAGCGTGCGCCGTGGGGCCCGCAGCCCTGGACCCCCCCTCTCCTTGGAGGAAAACACGGTCTCCTGGACTTCTATTTTCATTTTGTCAGTCCTGGGGCTCGAACTCACGGCCTGGGCGCCGTCCCTCAGCGCCACTTCCGCCTTCCTGGTGGTTCCTTGGAGATCAGAGTCTCCATGATGGACTTTCCTGCCCCCCTCCGGGGCTGGCTTTGAACCCCGATCCTCAGATCCCAGCCTCCCCGTTGTGGCTCCGATGACAGGGGCCGAGGCCCAGCTTCTCTTTGGCTTGTTTCTTTTCTCTCAAGGATGGTACAGCTCCAAACATCAGCCTTGCCCACCCCCTTCCCTCCCCCTCCCCTTCAATGTCTCCACCAAATGGTGTGGCCCCTGAAGCTGGTAGCTGGGCAGACACAACTCCACAGGCGTCCCCCTCCTCCCCAGCCCAGCACCTTTCAAAACCCCTGGCTGCTAAAAACCTCCCCTGGCCCCGCTAATGTGTCCTGCACAAAGCCACTGAATAGGGAAATGCGGTGGGCGGGGCGGTTCCCATGGCAACAGGCTAATGCACCTTTTCTCTCCTCCCCCCCCCCTTCCCCTGCTTGCACTCCCATTAGTTAAATAAATCTCCTGGGCAGGGCTGGATGGATGGCAGAGGTGAGGGAGAAGATGCCTTTGTAAACCCAACTCCATCCCTGTGAAGCCCCCAGGCCTTGGAGTTCTATGTCTCTATTTTCATTTTTATTCTTAGGCCAGTCCTGGGGCTTGAACTCAGGCCCTGGGCGCTGCCCCTGAGCTGCTTCTGCTCAAGGCCAGCCCTCTACCACCTGGATTCATCCGTGACGCCATTTCTATTTTCTAGTGGTTCCTTGGAGATAAGAGTCTTCCAGACTTTTCTGCCCAGGGCTGGCTTTGAACCGCGATCCTCCACATCGCAGCCTCCTGAGTAGCTGGGATCACAGGTGTGAGCCACCGGGGCCCAGCTTCCAGAGATTATGTCTGAGAAGCATCTTGGCCAGTTTCCTGAAGAATGACTGCAAAGAGTTCTTATAAACCAGTACGAAACAATTTACTAAAACACATTAGGAAAAAGAAAAAAAAAAAAGGAACTGTAGGATCCAAACGGATGTCTCCAGGAAAAAGACCATCCACAGCTCCGATTATATGTGAATATCCTTCATCTCCTTTGTAAGGAAGGAAAAGACGTGTTCCTATCAAAATACCAATTCTCCTGGGCCGATCGGAAAGGATCTGAAAGTTTAATGAGATACTACATTCAGGTGATGTGGGAAAAACCATCATTTTATAAACTCCGAGTGGGAGGGTTCAATCAATTTTAATGACTTCGGAGAGAAATAGAGTAGTTGCTCTGCTAGAAATTCCTCTTGCAGTGGTTCACATCTGTCTTCCCAGCTTCTCAGGAAGCTGAGATTCAGAGGATCTCAGTTCAAAGCCAGCCCGGGCAGGCAAGTCTGTGAGACTATCTCCCCAGAAAACCGGAAATGGTGCTGTGGTTCAAGTGGTAGAGTGCCAGCCTAGAACAAAAGAGCTCTTCAGATCTGTCTCTTGAGTAGCCAAGATGACAGATGTGAGCCAACGGTGCCCAGCAGGATATACAAATGTGTGTGTATATATGTATGTATATGTATATATATACACATATATGTCTAGGAATACACATGTAAATGTATCTATTATAGCTAGAGATCAGATATAGGTATATAATAGGTATATAATATAGTATATTCTAGACATATATATCTATTATAGATTTATATAATAGATATATAATAGATATATTTATATAATAGAGATCACATATAATATATCCATTTAGGTAGAGATCACCTAAAATGTCTATTTTATATAATCATAAGGTTTGGGGGCTGGGAATGTGGCTTAGTGGTAGAGTGCTTGCCTAGCATGCATGAAGCCCTGAGTTCCATTCCTCAGCACCACACACACAGAAAAAGCCAGAAATAGTGCTTTGGCTCAAGTGGTGGAGCACCAGCCTTGAGCAAAAGGAGTCAGAGACAGTTCCCAGGCACTGAGTTCAAGCCCCAGGACTGGCAAAAATAAATAAATAAAGTTTGTCTGGTTCTACCCATAAAGAAAAAAGGATTGGAAGACACCATTAAGGACTGAGTCTGTTAAAAGTAGCGCTCTCTAGGTGGAACCATTTTTGATGACTTTTCTACATTTGGTCGTTTTGAAAGAAGGAAGAGAAACAGAACAAACGCCAAATGCGATGCCCCTCACCTCTGCTCATGCTTCGTGATGAAAAGCACACACTGTCAACCCGGCATTTATTTTCAGGAAACCCCTAATTGCAGCCAATCAAGCATTTATCTTGCTTTTTCAAGCTCTTGCTGCAGGTACATTTTAAACCATTCTCCGTAGGGCAAGCATAATTACAGGAGGAACTATAGAAATGAGCCTAAAAGAAAAAAATAAATAAAAACGGAGAGATGAACACCGTTACTGATTACTTAAGCATTGCTACCTACACAGAGGTCTGGAAGGGAAAACAACACCTGGAATAGAATTTACAAAGCAGGGAATCGACTGGCAAGGAACACATTTTTCTTTTGGCTGGTCATGGGGCTTGAACTCAGGACCTGGGTGCTGTCCCTGAGCTCTAGCACTCTACCACTTTGAGCCAATTGTGGTGGTGCTTCCTGTTTTCTGGTGGGTCATTGGAGATAAGAGTCTCAGGGACTTTCCTGCCTGGGCTGGCCTCGAACCCCGATCCTCAGATCTCAGCCTCCTGAGTGGCTGGGCTGACAGGTGTGGGCCACCGGTGCCTGGCTATGAACCACTGTCTTGACTCTGTCTTTACTGCATCTAGAAATATAAGTAGATCTGAGAGAAACCATTGGTCTACCACAGATCATGGACAGCCCTACTCGACATTCATTCCCACTCAGATTCCCTGTGCAATACAATCTAGGATATCATCATCATCTCCTTCTCTAGCAAACCTTTGACATCCCTGGTTTACCCCTCTGCTCGGATTAGCTGAGCCCAGGCTCACAACCTGCTTGCCATTGGCTAGTTTGGACAGGGTGAAATGTAGTTACATAGGTTATCCCTCACGAAGCAGGCTCCACCCTTCTGCTCAGATTGGCTGACCTCAGCTTCACAATCTGCTTATGATTGGTTAGTTTGGAGAGGGTGAAGTGTGTTTGCATAGGCTAGCCCTATTGCAGCAGGCCCCACCCCTCTACTCTGATTGGCTGGGCTCAGGCTCACAATCTGCGTGCGATTGGCCGATGTGAATAGGGTAAAATATATATTTACATAGGTTGTCCCTCACTCAGCAGGCCCCACCCCTCTGCTCAGATTGGTTGAGCCCAGGTACACAATCTGCTTGCGATTGGCTAATTTGAATAGGGTGAAATGTCTTTACCTAGTTTATCCCTAAGGCAGCAGGCCCCACCCCCTGCTCTGATTGGCTGAGCTCAGGTTCACAGCCTCCTTGTGATTGGCTAGTTTGGATAGGGTAAATTGCATTTCTATAGTTTATCCCTAAGGCAGCAGGCCCCGCCCCCTGCTCTGATTGACTGAGCTCAGGTTCATAGCCTGCTTG